CACTGCTGTGCACTGACTGCTGGGTAGGCACTGCTGTGCACTGACCGCTGGGTAGGCACTGCTGTGCACTGACCGCTGGGTAGGCACTGCTGTGCACTGACCGCTGGGTAGGCACTGCTGTGCACTGACCGCTGGGTAGGCACTGCTGTGCACTGACCGCTGGGGAGGCACTGCTGTGCACTGACCGCTGGGTAGGCACTGCTGTGCACTGACCGCTGGGGAGGCACTGCTGTGCACTGACCGCTGGGTAGGCGTGCCTACTGTGCACTGACCGCTGGGGAGGCACTGCTGTGCACTGACCGCTGGGTAGGCACTGCTGTGCACTGACCGCTGGGTACTGACCGCTGGGGAGGCACTGTTACGCATTGACTGCTGGGTAGACACTGCTGTGCACTGACCGCTGGGTAGACACTGCTATGCACTGACCACTGGGTAGGCACTGCTGTGCACTGACCGCTGGGTAGACACTGCTATGCACTGACCGCTGGGTAGGCACTGCTGTGCACTGACCGCTGCAGTCAAAGGCACAGAGGTCTAATGACGCAAGAAGTCAAAATCACACATATATGATGTGAAACTTCCCCCAAACAAGTATGGCTTAAACAAAATAGCTATGGGCTAAATACTAGAATGTAACCTTGTCTTAACCCTCTCAGATTTACTGGAGCCATTGGCCTACAGTCCCAATTAATGTTATCCTTTGACACAACCTGCTGGGATAACAGACTAAAACCCTAGGCCATGAAATGGAATAAAAAGGAAGGCAGAAGTTTGAATGATCTGGCCCATGGTGAGACTTTAGTTGGAGACATTATCTTCTGAATGTTCTTTTAGAACAGACAGAAAGAACCCTGTTTGAAATGGCACACTCCTGTTGTTTTAATATTTCCAGTTTTTAAAAAGCCTTACAAACAGACAGGGTGGGAAAAAAGAAACAGGAGTGTATTTACGCCAAAAGCTCTGGATCTCAGTAAGTACAGGTTCCACTTGTTGGAGATGTGTTAGAGGACAGGGCCTTCGTTCTCAGTTTTGTCTTCTCTGTGTGCATGTGGTTTATATTAAAGACTTCAGATCTTGTTGAATGGTTGATAGTTTATTGTTTTGGAAACCTATTCAGTTTCTTGTTGCTCCTAACTATGGTTTAAGGCTCCTAGGAGTTGTAGATAACAGGGTTTATTTTAAAAAGTAGGAGGTGAGTCACCTTTTGAACTGTAAATACAAGAAAGTGTCTACAAGGTCTTTATCTGATTTCTGTCAGCATTTATATTAAATAATAAATTAAGAAAGAAAGGAAAAACGGAAGGCAGTGTAAATGTGACTGACCAACCAGTCCCTGTGTCTTTCCTGAGTGTGTTTCTCAGCACTACTGGTTTAATGGTATCAGTCTGACTCTGACAGCACACTCGAAATGACCGTGCAACTGTCACACACACACACACTCACACGCATGCACGCACGTGCACACACACAGCTCTTATGCTCACCTACTACACCAGGAAACAAATCATTTTGTCCAATTGTTTATCACACAGGTGTAGTTTTGACCCCACTGTTAAACTGTAACATTTCAGCATGCAGAACACCCACCAAAGTTTATGTAAGTCTTCATTGCTTTTGTTCCGTAGCTGCTGGCAGGTCCATGAAGCTCCTATGAGAATAAGAAATGTGTAACATTAAATGATGCTTCTAGCTCTATGCCCCTGGCTGATTATCCACTCTCAAAATCTGTTTCTGTATCTGTAAAATATGGAACGGAATTATATTAACATGACTAGAGTTCAATTAAGTAACATGAAAATATCAGCAACATGACAGGCAACAAACAGCATTCAAAGGCTGCTAATATTTGTGTCAAATGCATTCCATTCCTTAAATTATTTTTAATTATTCATTACAAATTATTTTTAATTATTATTAAAAAAGTGTCAACTAAAATAAACCCAAACCTCATATTAGTTAACATTTTCAAAGTACATTTCTTTTAAACATTCCACCAATCTACTGAGGAAATATTTTATTCAGTTATGAGAAAGACCTTTAAAATCCAAAGTAAATTCTAACAAAAAGTCCTAAACTGGATAATCCTAGGATGATGGAGGGCTCAATCAATTACTACAGACCATTCTAAATAGCTCACCAGATTTGACCTTTTCTTCCCCCCAGTTCTTTGGATCATCAAAAAATTCTTCTAGTCCTTTCCTTGACAACGTGGTATGAAGTAATTTACACTGGAGAAAAGATGTGACATGGTGTGTGTTCTTCTGCAACAAACTAATGGGAAACCTGCAACAGAACACAAGTAAGTAACGGTTAGAGTTTATAATGTTCAGATTTTATAAGCAAGAAACACTTATTACAATGTCAAAAATTCTACCCAGTAATTTGGCCCCCAAAGCAGTAAGCTTCTAAAATGCGTTAGAACGTACTTTTATTGTACAGATCGCTACCCTACAGTTTCAGGGACAACATATTTTACACAATATCTTTTTTATTTTATTTACTATTAATGTACGTGTGTGGGAGTACACACACTCATGTGCCAGGACACACATGTAGAGGACAGTCCTCTTCTTCTGCCTTGTTGAAGCTCTGTTTTCTGCAGCTTGGCTGAGTGCGCCAGGCCAGCAGGCATGAGAGCTCCTGGGTGCTTCCCTTTTCTCTGCCTCCTGTCTGGCCACAGGAATGCTGGGACGGCAGACGGGTGCTGCTGCATCCAGCTTCTGCTGCATAGACCTCGGGGTCAAGCTGAGGTCAACATGCTTGAACGGCAAGCACTTTACCTCCTGAGTCATCTCGCTGCCCCCACAATTACATCACAATCTTAGAGTAACATTTTTAGGTGCTTCCTCCATTGTAGCAACCGAATCCATCAACGGATCAAAACCATTGCGAAAGTCAACTCTGCAACATTAGAGAGGCACAAGGCTTTCTCCTTTAATCCAGTAATTCTGTATCTAGAGATTGTCAACATCAGGGAAGGGAACTTACAGACTAAGACAGCCACAAAGGAATTAAATGTGATATCAAAGAGCTGTTAATTACATAAACGTACAACTAGGGAATTGCTGATCGTCATACCACTGCACAAAAATCTTACATAGTAATTTAGAAGTTATGTTTCTAAAAATATTTAATGACCTGGTAAAATGACCTAAAAACAAAATAAATGTGAACTGTTTCCCAAGTGCTATCTTCTGAACCTAGGGTATTTACTTAATTTGACTCTGCTTTTGTGCCCTACCACTGAGCAACATCCCCAACTCTTGACTAGAATCTAATTATGATGAAATAATCAAATGGAGACATATTCTTAAAAAATTAAAAAAAAACCCTAATCCTACCCAAAATGCCAGTAATCACGACAAAGGGAAAAAGAAACATACGGGATTAATGGCAACTAGGTCAATAAATGATCCTTCATTGGATCCTGAAGAAAAGAATGGAGACGAAGAAACAGAAAGAGAAAGAATAAAGAAAAAAATTATTAGTGCAATTTTTTTGATTGTATGCTAACTAACAGCAGTGTATTCCTGGGGGTGATAACTTAGTAAGGAAATGTCCTTGGTTCTACGTTTGAAGTTTGACTTCTGTCAAACAGTGCAGGAAAAGGAGTATAAACACAGGGTTCTTGAAATCGTGACAAAATGCCAATGACTTGATTACTCGGTGAAGGGCACACGGCTACCATTTTACTCTAATAACTTTTCTGTTGTTCTGGGGAAAATACCGGCAAACAAAGCATGTACACCTGCAAAATTAAAGAAGAAATGGCAATGTGTCATCTTGGGAGCGCACAACTGCCTTTACCATTTTCAAATACTTTGCCTCTCTGAGTGACAGGTATTTATTTTATTAAAAAACACATAACAATTACTTCATTAAACATTTAAGGTTTATGTATATGAATGTCTTCCTTCAGATGTGTACACCATGGTGTGTGGCTGATGCCTTTGGGTCTCCAGTTAAAGCTGAGCCACACGGCTGCTAGGAACCGAACTTGGGTTCTCTGCAAGTATAAGTTCTCTTAACCACTGAACCGCAAATTATTTTATTATCTCTCCAGCTACAATTTATTTCATTGTTAGGGGGAGAAAAAGACAATGAAAGATGAAACTATTCAAATTTGTCACCCAGATCAAGTTACAACTCTGCAAAGATTTTAAAAAGCTAATTTCCGAAGTTAGCGTTAATAATACCGAGCACAAAAGAGGCTCGACAGCTGCGTGTTGAGCCGAACACGGGTTGCTTCCTTCAATTAAATCTGAGGTACACTATGCATAAAACTCGGTTCATGTAGGCAAATGTCCAAGACGAGCAAGCTGCCTGTTCTCACACTTGCAGAAACCCCTCACTTCTCTCGTCACTGTCACTTAGTACCTGCCGGACAATCTGTGTCCGAAGCCGACGGTGCAGATCCGTTCGTCTCACACCCGGCGACGCCTTCCGTGCCAGCTCGACCCCTCGGAAGCGTCTGTCCCGACCCAGCCATCCCCAGCACAGAGCACCCTAACCCCAGGCCGGCGGACCAGCCGCCCGCGGCGCCCGGTCACCAAGGTGGGCGACTCCAAGGTCACGCTGCGCACTCAGCAACAGGCACCCGAAGGCGGGCAGTCATCCTTCTTTCTTCACTTACCCGGGACGAGCAGGCGCCTGGAGACTTACTAGGGAACCCGCAGCCTTCAGGAACGCCGAGACTCTTCTACAAATACCCACTATACTGGGCGCAGCCATGTTTCTAAAGCAGGCCCACTGTGCCGGTGCCCAAATGTCACTTCCGGTGTTGCCTGCCGACAAGTGAAGCAAACGCGAACAGGTTTTGCCCTTGCTAAACATGGCTGTCCTCACTGCTCCCACCCCAACCCTTTATCCGCCATAGTGCTTCTATCGGCTCTCTTCGCGCTCCCCACCTACGACGTCGTCAGGTCGGCTCGCGAGCGCCCACACGTGAAGCGAACAGGAACCGGCCTCTGCCCTTACTCAATATGGCCGCCACTAGCATTCGCCCTCACAGGTGGATTGTCCCTCCCGGCTCCCGTTGCTCACCCCACTTCCTCCCCTGCCCGGAGTAGCCATGGCGGCCATGAGCCTGCTGCAGCGGGCTTCGGTCACCGCGCTGACAGCGCTGTCTGTCCGCCGTGCTGGCGCTAGACTCGGAGTCGGAAGCTTTCTCACACGGAGCTTTCCGAAGACTGTCGGTGGGTGCAGGCCTCGGAGACGCGGGTGAGAGGTGGGAGGGCTGTTTCCAGGTGACCTTGGGGACCGAGGAGCTGGACGCAGGGACGAAGTTGGCCTGGGGTTTCTAGACGAGGCTGAGGTTTCTAGACTGGCTGTGTGAGGGGCTTCTGCAGAAATCCGATGGCCTTGTTTTAGCGTGCGTGAGGCACGAGGTCACTCACCGTGCCGGCTGCTGCTTACTTGCGGCCAGGCCAGACAGGCGTGGAGCTGCTGTCCACGTCTCCCAGGGCAACACACATTTGTTATTGACGAGGAGGTCCGAACTTCCCACCCTCCGCCTCTAGTTCCCCAGTGCTGGGACTACCGGCTTGCGCTGCAGCGCCAGGCTCAAGGCCGAATCTGGATAAGTGGCACCTGTGGCTGGTTCTAACCAGCAGGTAGACTGAAGTGAAGGCTGGGATGATGCTCATAGGCACGGGTGTAGAAAGGCACCACCAGGTGACAGCTGCCTTAGGCACAATAGTAACTTCCCGTGGAGCTCACGACGTTTTAGAAGTCCACAAAAATATCTTTTTTTTTTTTGTTTTTTAAAAGACTATAGTGTTAATGACTGTGTAAATGCTAAGTTGAGCCCAGATTGTGTCTGTTGTGTGTTAATGCATCGGTAACTTTACTCTCTGGCAGTGCTTCTCAACCTGTGGGTTACGACCTTTTTCACAGGGGTTTCCTGAGACCATTGAAAAACACAGATATATACATTATGATTCATAACAATAGCAAAATTACAATTATTTTTTATGGTTGGGGGTCACCACAACATGAGGAACTGCCTTAAAAAGTCGCAGCGATTGGAAGGAGCCTAAGAGGATTAAAGAGCTCAGGGCTCAGGACAGTCATAGTGAGGGCCTAGGAACCTGACCCGGGTCCCTGTGCTTTCTAGAAGAGTAAACATTGCTTTATTTAGTATTCGATCTGTTTTCTCTCTCCAAAGACTCTGAAAAGTAAATGCAATGTTATTCCCTCATTTTACAAAAGAGGAAACCGATTTAACTAACGTTAAAAATAATTTGCCATTCTACTACGTTGGCAATAATGGTGGTGATATTTATTGAGCATCTGTTAAGTGTCAGGCACTGTTTTAAGTGTTAATTCATTTCATCCTCTTGGTCAGAGATTCACTGTTTGCCTTGTGCAGTACAGAAAAATGAAAATTTTACCCTAAAACCAAAAGCATTCTCTCCAGTCTCTAAACATCTTGTCCCGTTTTACTCTCCCAAGTTAAGTGGCACCATTATGGAAGGAGGCAGTATGCATAGGGACCTTCTGGATCATGCTGGACAGGATCAGTGCTTTCAAAACTGCCAGCAAAAATTTAAGCTTAATGCAAACTCCATGTGCTAACACTACTTGGCAAAATTTTTTTGCAAACCATTTTTTGTTATTACAAATATCCTCAGATATCCAAGTGGAGAACCTTCAAATTCTCTCCCAAAGAGGGCTTGATGGAGTCTAGCTAAACTGAAGTCTCCCAGGTTCCTCCCTCTGTACTATTCCCTACCCTTGTGGTCGATGATCTTTCTGATGAGAACAGGGAATGCCTAGTAGCTGCTCGTTCCGACCGTGGTTGTTCACCGTATCACTGCTTTCGCAGGCGTCCTGTGCCTTTGTCTCCTGAAAGTCTTCATCTCTTCCACCATTTCCTTGAGAATCACAGAAAGGTGTTAAGCCCCTCCCCCATCTTCTTTTCTCTGGCACTAGACTGACTCGATTGAAATCCTGGTTGCAGAATTTAGAACTCTGACCTTGAGTGCACACCTCTTGGTCGCGCTCTTCGTTCCTCATCTGGAAGATCTTACAGGGCAGCTGTGAAAAATGGAGTAGGAGACATTTCTGGCACCATGCGCCTGGACCCATGCATTAGTCTTTTCAAAACAAATTCTAAAATACAGTGTGACATTTGCCCTTTTATTTTATTTTTTCTTGGGTACTGCTGATGAAATACAAGCTTTTGCATATACAAGTCAGCTGAGTTCTTTCCCCTGGGCTGCATCCGTAAGCCCTCTTTTTCCTTTCTCTTTATAAATTTTTGAGACAGAGCCTCACTAAGTTGCCCAGGCGGGTCTTGAATACACTCTGCATTGCAGGCTGTCTGTAGTCAGACTTTTCTTTCTCACTTGCCAGTTCCCAAATAACTGACACGGAGACTTATTAATTATAGAAGCTTGGCTGATAGCTTGTGCTTGTTAATAATTAGCTCTTACAACTCCAGTTAACTCTTACTTGGGTGATAGCTTGTGCTTGTTACTAACTAGCTCTTACAACTCAAGTTAACTCTTACTTGGCTGATAGCTTGTGCTTGTTACTAACTAGCTCTTACAACTCAAGTTAACTCTTACTTATCCATGTGCTACCACATGCTCATGGCTTGTTCACCTCATTTGTACACATCCTGCTCCCTCTGCATCTGGCTGCTGACTCTCAGACTCCACCCTTCTTCCTAGAGCCCTCCTAGTCTGACCCTCCCACCCAGTCTCTTCCTGCCCAGCTGTAGGCCAGTCAGCTCTTCATTAACCAGGGACAATAATACGTATTTACAGCGTACAAAGATTGCTGCTCAGCGTTGAACCTGTGATGCTCCTGACCCAATCTTCCAAGTAGCTGGATCAAGCATCTGAGAGGTGTAATTTCAGTCTAAGGTCTTCCTGCCATTGAAGCTGTGCCCTTGAAGGGAATATTGGGGCATCAGCCCCTCCTCTTCCTTTCTCTGCTTCCTGGCCACTAGAAGATGAGCAGTTTGTGCTGCTGTATACTCCCATCATGCTTTGCAACAGGCTCAACCAGCAAGACTTCCAGCTTATGAATGGGAAACTCTGAGTCCCTCTCCATTCTAAAGCTAATGTATCACAGATATTTTTCAGGTAGAGGAAAGCTGACCAACAGATATATGGACAAAGAACTGTGAACTAAGACAAGGAGTAGTAAAATGAAGATAATCATTTTAACAGGCAGAGTTGGCAGAAGTGGTGGGTGGGTTTTCTGGTGTCTGGATGTGGGACTTTTGGGAGACCTAGATGTTGAGAGAGTGGGACCGAAGGTGGTGAGGACCTAATTGGGGTGGAGGAGGGCCTGGACACAAAGCTGAAGTGCCTATATGTGTGGAGGTCAGAGGGCAACTTGAGGGGATCAGTTCTTCCACTGTGTGGGATCGGATGACTAAACTCAGGTTATCAAGCTTGACTGCAGTGTCCTTCCCTTCTGAGCCACCTCGCTAGCCCTTCTTAGAATCATCAATTTGTCATTAAGTGCTGAAAGACTGACAGATATAAGGACAAGGACTTAGATTTTTAGACCAGATAATTAAAATGGTACTTTTATCTGAGAATACAGAGAAAGACGATGAATGAGCAGTTTTTGATGTTTAAAATGCAGACAGAAAGTTGCTACATTGTCTTACTTAATCTTGATATCACTTATAGTAGTCAGCAAACTCTAAATAGCTTTCCTGAGTGACTCACATATTTAAAACCATTTATTGGAGGGGGCTGGAGAGATGGCTCTGTGGTTAACAGTGCTGATCTTCTAGAAGACCTAGGTTCATGTACAGTATGCACATTGCATATCTTACAATAGCCTTTAACTGTAGCTTCTGAGGGACCCTGTCTGGTGTTCTGTGTTGTGCAGGCCATTCAAAGAAGGATAATCACCCCCAGAATATAACTTGAGGCTCTCTGGCAGCAAGGAGGAACAGTTTCTGTGAACTGAATCTCAAACCTCAGTTCAGAATCATACTTATTGATTGTACACAAAGGTTGTGTTTGGGGTACAACAAGTTCCTCATACCAAAGCCCCTTAGATCTATTCTTTATGTTCTTTGAAGGAAATCCTCACACCCCTGCAACCTTAGTCCTTATTGTGTACTGTGTGTGGTACCCAGTAATTCAAGACATCCAAGTGTGCCTGGATAGTCTTGTGACCAGTGTCATGCAATGGATGGAAAACTTCCTCAGACAAACAACCCTATAAATCATAGGAAACAATCACTGTTCTCCACCATTATTTCTTCAAGGTCTAGGTACCTTAAACAAACATTCTACTGTTACCCTAACTACAGTGAGAAACAGTTGTTACATCCTAAGGTTGACCCTAGGTACAATGAATGACCCCACTAGATTCCCACCACAGGGCGCCATGTCTCTTATGGCAGCTGCATTCACCTGCATATACCCACACACACTTAAAAAAAATAACAATTTAAAAAATCATTTATTGAAGACTTAGTCCTGTAAGCTGTGCTCATTCTACTGTTTTCAGAATGTGAGCATATGGCCCTCCCACTTCAGCAAACAGAGACCTCAGGGCTGTGGGAAGTTGACCACTCTCAAGCAGATTTCAGGACGGCTGGTGGGAGTAGCAGTCATCAGGCGTATTTAACCAAATGTGATTGTTAAACAGTTGGGTAATCGTATTAAGAAAGAGAAAGCAGTTCACTTTGCTAACCTCATTAATATTCTTCTAATGCAGCCAGTCCAAGCTTTCTTCCATTGTTCTTTTTTGGGGGCATGAAACATTGATACAGGTCTCACTCACTGGGTACCCTGGTTGGCTCGAACTTAGAACTCTCCTCCAGTCTCTGCCTCCTGAGTGCTCGTTGTTTGTTTTGTGTTTGCTATACAGCTGTAATGATCGTTTACTGAAGCTGCATATAATTTAATCCTTCCTCTGTTCTCTGGTTGAAAGAGAAAGGTGGGCACTGGGAAAGTAGCCCAGAGGTCTCCACTAGATAGGAAGGCAGCAGGAAGGGTGAGACACGGGGCCTGACTTGGTCTCTGAAGCTCCAGGGCCCGTTCCCAGTGACACTTCCTCCAAGGCCACTCCCTAAGCGTTCAGATATGAATCTATGGGGGAATTCTTGTTCAAGCCACCACACTGTCTGTACCCACTGTGGTCATTCCCAGGAGTCTAGATCCTGCGGCTTTAAAGATGCTTTGCATGGATTGCATTTTTTTAGGCTAACTATAGCCCTCTGTGTTCACTTGTCAGCATTCACAGATCTAGCCAATTATGGTTTGAAATATTTAGAAAAATAAATTGCTCCTATAACCCCTTTTCTTGTTGTTATTCCCCTGACAATACAATGTAACAATGGTTTACATGTCATTCACTGTACTCAGTATTATAAACCTAGAAATTAGAGTATATAGGAGAATGTGTGTGGGTTCTTGTGCCGATGCCATTTTATTTAAGGTTCTTAATCATCTGGAGATTTTCGTATCCATGGTACCCAGAACTAGTTCCTCATGGATGCTGACATCAAAGGACAATTGTGCACATCCCTGGGCACATGGCGTGTCAAAGGGAGCATGTCATCTGATGGAACAGCATCAGCTTCCTGCAGGATATGTTCTGTGGTCCTAAAAGGCAGGGGCGGGGACGGGGGTGGGGGGAGAGTGGGGGGAGCAGTTCTTGCCATTGAACATGAATAAAGGGTACCGTTCTTTCCTACATCTTACATCTTCTTAGTATCGCCATCTTGGAATTTCAGGTGGGTTCATTTTTGGGTTTCCTTTTTTGTGACGGGTGCAGTTGCTTCAGTGGGAATCTGAGCAGAAGCATAGCTGTCCCTTCTGAATAACAGTGGTCCTTCTGGGCTTGATGGCGTCTTGTCAGTCTCCATGGGACAAGAACAGGGAAGGAATTCAGGAGGCACACTCCGCCTCCACTTATCTCCACCAAGGCTGAAATCTTTCCAAATCTTTGATTTGAGGAGGAGGAGGATATTCTTAGTCAGAGATGACTTACAAATGGATTTTGTCACGATATGATGGATGAGGTATAGCTTGGTGGTAGAAATACGTGACTGACATATGCAAGACCCTGAGTTTAGCCTAACGTGCACACAACAAACACACACACACACACACACACACACACACACACACACGATAGAGTGTATAGTCTGTAATAATCAAGTTTCTGCTGAAGATTGGAGTAAACACTGCCAGTCCTGTCTAGGCTTCACATGGTTACTGCTAGAAACGAGAAGAAAATAGCAGCAGCAGCAGGAGCTGTCTTTGGGAGCAGCCAGTCAGTCTTTGCAGTGTGCCCTACACATTCTGATGTGCATGCAAAACACATTTACTCACAGTGTCCAGGGTCTCCTCTGCCCACCCCCTGCACAAGCCCTGTTAAACAGTCTCACATTTCCAGCTCCTGTGCGGCACAGTGGAGACCATGGCAAGAGACTGTTCATCATCAAGCCTACTTCATACTATGACAGTCGCTTCTTGAGGTTGCTGGTAAGTTGAAAATGTTCTTAACTACAGAATGTTTGGTGGGGGGGGGGGGTTCCATTTTGGAGACGTCTTTCATTTTAAAATCACTATTTTCCCTCAGGATGCTGAGATTATGTAGTAAAGTCTTGATTTGCTGCTACATTTTTAAAAGTTAATTAGAACCTTTTCAAAGCAAGGATTCATGTTGACTGCAGACCGAGTGCCAGCCATTCCTGCTGCTGGGGATGGGGTCTGAAGTCCCAAGTGTGTTTCCTCTTCAAGTATAAAATAAATCTGCACAAGGCCCCTGGAAGATTTCTAGTGAAGCACCTCCATTTTAGGATGTGATTTTTAAAAGAAATTTATGCTATTTGAGTACTGATTTTTAAGGGAATATTCTTAATATAGCAGTAGCGCAAATAATCCCGCTTATTCAGAATGCTACTGTGTGTATCTCATCGTCTAAAGAAGTAACAACCAGAGGCTTACAAATGGAGGCTTGTTTGGACTCTCACTGCCCCGAAATGCTCATCCACGGACTCCCACTGCCCGAGACTCCCCCTCCCCACTGCTCTCACTGCTTCTTCTTAGTCCTCTTTTTAAAAATTGACACAGGACCTTGTGTTATCCCAGACTGGCCTCAAACTCACTATGTAGCCAAGGCTGACTCAACTCCTGTTCCTCCTGCCTCCACCTCAATGTTGGGTCCCCAGGTGTGTGCTATCATGGGCATGAGTGTCTTCTTACCATGACTCCAGTGACATTCAGTGGCTGAAATGCTACTGTTTCCATACTTCGTCCCAATACAGAATGTTTTTGGTTTTTTTTTTTTTTGTTTGTTTGTTTTTTTTCAAGACTGGGTTTCTCTGTACCTGTCCTGGAACTAGTGAGTGTAGACCAGGCTGGCCTCGAACTCCCAGAGATCCGCCTGCCTCTGGCTCCCAAGTGCTGGGATTAAAGGTGTGTGCCGCCATCACCGCCCAGCTCAGACAGAGTGTTCTTTATTGCATTGCTTTAACCAAGAAGTCAAAAGTCATTTCACATATTGTACTAAATAGTTGTGTTTAATAACTAAATCAGAGAGAGAAAAGTAACAGAAATCAGTGATTCTGATTCTCAAATTGACATGTTTCTTTAGTAGGGATATTAAGGAAATTGAATGAGGATAATTTCAGTGTGAGAAGTAGCAAAGATCATGAGAAACCATTTTCTTTTTCCTCATAGAAATTCTACCTTATGTTGACTGGGGTTCCAGTTCTAATTGGCATAACGCTGGTGAACATATTTATTGGTAAGTACATCATCTAGGCTCACTCCACGAATTGATAACATTTGTAAACATATACACAAGTTTTTAAAAAGGAAATTATGAACATTTCCATTAGTTACATTTGTCACAGACAGTGTAAGGAAGGAAGGTTCATTTTGTCATGGTTTCAGAGAGACACCGGTCTGCCATGAGGTGGATGCTGGAGTGGGAAGGCACCAGGAAGCAGGGGAAGCTTGCTGGGACCAGGGCGGTCTTGACCTTTAGAGATTGTTCTTAGTCACTAGTTCATCTCTCCAGCTCTGGGACCGTTAAAATAGTGCATGAGCCTGTGGGGACATTTCTGTTGTGTGGAGGCCACTTGTTTGTTTCCCAGCTGCCTGGCAGCTCAGACCTGAAATAACCACACAGAAATCACATTATTTGCAATACTGTTTGGCCAATACCTTAAGCTTATTTCTAGCTAACTCTTATATTTTAATTTAACCCATCTCTATTACTCTGTGTATCGCCACGTGGCTGTGGCTTACCAGGTTAAGTTCTGGCATCTGTCTCTGGTGGGGCTCATGGCTTCTGACTCTGCCTTCCTTCTCCCAGCATTCAGTTTAGTTTTCCCCACCTACCTCTGTTCTGCCCTGCTCTGCTATAGGCTCAAAGCAATTTTTTTTATTAACCAATGGTATTCACAGCATACAAAGGGGAATCGCTCATCACATTTCTACAGAGGAGGTGGCTTCTGAAGCCTCATCTTCCTTCTCCCTTGTCCAGCTACTGTTCTGTTGCTGTGAAGCAACACCATGACCATGGCCACTCTTTTTTTTTTTTTGGTTTTTCGAGACAGGGTTTCTCTGTAGCTTTTGGTGCCTGTCCTGGAACTAGCTCTTGTAGACCAGGCTGGCCTCGAACTCCCAGAGATCCACCTGCCTCTGCCTCCCGAGTGCTGGGATTAAAGGCGTGCGCCACCACCTCCCTGCAGACCATGGCCACTCCTAGAAAAGAAACATTGAATTGAAGGCTTGTTTACAGTTTTGGAGGTTTAACCCATTATCATGGTGGGGTCATGGGGGCATACATGCTGCTGGAGCAGTAGTTGAGAGAGCTACGTCATGATCCATAAGCAGAAAGAGAAGCTGTGTCTGGTGTGGACTCCAGCCTCCGTGATACACTTCCTCTAACAAGGCCACACCTCCTTATCCTCCTAATCCTTTCAACAGTTCTGCTCCCTGGTGATGAAGCATTCAAATAGATGGCATGGTGGGGGGCATTCTTATTCAAACTGCTACTTTTCCTTTTCCAGAATCAGCCTTGACAAGCTGGATCAGGGAAATAGAGTAACAGTGGGGAAGAGAGTGAAAGAGACAGACAGACACAAACACACAGACAGACAGACAGAGACAGGCACTGACTGACTGAGTCTCTGACATCGAATACACACTAAAGGTCTTCTGAGCAGTATCTTAAAGTGCTGAATTGTAGGAAGAGGCTGCTCTTTTGTTTTCGAGTTGCCCAGACCTGAAATAGTCACACAGAAACTGTATTAATTACAATACTGTCTGGACAATTGTTTAAGCATATTTCTAGCTAGCTCTTATATCTTAAATTAACCCATTTCTATTTATCTGTGTATCACCATGTGGTTATGGCCTACTGGTAAGGTTCTATCTGGCATCTGTCTACTGCAGCAGCTACATGGCTTCTCTCTGAGTTTGCCTTCTTTTCTCTTCTATTTCTGCTTGGAATTCCCCCCTTTCCCTATTCTGTGTTGCAATAGGCCCAAAGGAGCTTCTTTGTTAACCAATGGTATTCACAGCATACAGAGGGGAACCCCACATCACTGAATTATTTTGAATCTTAGAATATTCTGTCTGGTAAATTTACAGAGGAGCAAAAAGTAAAAACAAACAGTGTGTCCTTTATTATGTCTCGTTATATAAGAACAAAATGGGAGGCTCTGCTGAGGTGTTGGAGGTCCCGTCTTACACTTAGAAGATGGATAAAAGCCCCTCCCAAGGGGACTGATCTTCCCCATGAATTAGCACATTAGAGGAAGCAGCCCATGGAACCATGAGAAGCTGGCTGCTGACTGTGTGAAGAACTGGTGTGGAACTGGTGGCCGTCAGTGCTAACCTGGGGTCATCATCATTTTCTCTCACTAGGTGAAGCTGAACTTGCAGAAATCCCAGAAGGCTACATCCCAGAACACTGGGAGTATTACAAGGTTTGCATAGCTCTTTAGAATTCTTATTGGATAGCTTATTAATGTTGTGGTAAATGTCTTAATTAGGCAGTTATGATATAGGTTTTCAGTTTTTTACATCAAGTAGATGGTGCATTTTAAACTTAAGAATTCTTTTTTAGATTTATTTTATATGATTGGGTATTTTGCCTAAATATATGAATGTGCTCCACATTTGTGCTTGGTACCCGAGGAGTAACCTGGAGTTACTGATGGCTGTGAGCCACTATGTGTGCTTGGTACCCGAGGGGTAACCCGGAGTTACTGATGGCTGTGAGCCACTATGTGTGCTTGGTACCCGAGGGGTAACCCGGAGTTACTGATGGCTGTGAGCCACTATGTGTGCTTGGTACCCGAGGGGTAACCCGGAGTTACTGATGGCTGTGAGCCACTATGTGTGCTTGGTACCCGAGGAGTAACCTGGAGTTACTGATGCCTATGAGCCACTCTGTGGATGATGGGAATTGAACTCAGATCCTCTGCAAGAGCAGCAAGTGATCTAAACTGTTGAGCCACTTTCCTCGCCCACAATATTTTTTAATTTTTTTATAAGTAAAGATTCTTGGTACCTTTTCACTAAAAAATTATGTTAAGCCTTATAGGCTAAATTAAATCTGCTTATTTTTGCAGTCTGGTGGAAAGATGTTTGCATTTGGATCAGTAGCCTCTGGTCTGCCCCCTGCCCTGCCCTGCTCTTAAGCGGCAGCCCCAAGTGCAGTGTGAAGGGAGCGCATGGCTCAGAACTGAAGCAGATTGATCATTTGATGATAGCATTGCTACCACCTTGGCGCTTATCTCAGACGTGGGGCAGGAGTGTGAACCTAGTGGTGGACATGATTTAACACGTATGAAAGTTGTTGACATAAACAGCAGTCAACCAGAAAAGCAAACTTCCTTCAGAAGGTAATTGATTCTAAAGAAATTTTCCCTTAGCACCCAATATCAAGATGGATTGCCCGAACTTTCTATGATTGTCCCGAAAAGAATTATGAAAAAACCATGGCTATCCTCCAGATTGAGTCTGAAAAGGCTGAATTGAGGTAGGAGAAAGGGCTGGGAAGGATTACTAGATCATGAGGCTGGGGAGAAGGCATGCCTGGTGGGAGGGAGTCCTGCGTTGGCCACTGGGGAGATGCTGGCTCATATAGAAAGGAATGTTCTCTCTCTCTCTCTCTCTCTCTCTCTCTCTCTCTCTCGGATAGTTATAGGTATACGTCTGTCTGTGTGTGTGTTTATCACGTGTGTGCAGGCCCTGGGAGGCCATAAGAGGGCACCAGATCTTCTGGAGCTGGAGTTGCAGGCCTTTGTGAGCCAGCAGACGAGAGGCAGCATCTGTCTCTCCAGCCCGGGAAAGGACTCTGAATAAGCTACTCTGTGCACATAGCACCCTCTGCACATGTCATAGAAGTCATAGAAACTGCCCTGTAATACGGCGATTAGAAACTGCCATATGCAACCCTTTCGGGCTGTCTCTAGAGGAAATGCTCGTCTGATATTAGGTTACATCAGTGCAGTTGGCTAGCACCTCCAGGATCTGTTTCTGCCTCCTCAGCATTGGAATATGAGCCAGATATTTTATATAGGTTTTGAGATTGAAATCACATCCTTGCAAGGTTAGCTCTTTACTGACTGAGCCATTTCCTCAGCCTTGGGGGTTTTGTTATTTTGGTTTTTGGCTGTATCTTACTTTTTGTTTTGTTACTTAATTTTTCTTATTTTTATAAGAACTTTCTACATGAGTACTATATTTGCATCATTTCTGGTCCTTCAAACTCTCCCCCTCCTCAAATTTATGAACTCTTTCTTTAATTACAATAGTTACCCATTTGTTTAATTATATTTAGAAGAGTAGGGAAAAGAAGGATTGAATATAGTTGTTTGTAAAATGTTAAGTAAGTAAGCTCTTCAGGTCACAGGCACAGAGTCTATAATCTCATGGTTAGAAAGGTAGATAATGCCTAGGAAGTGATTTTGCAATTGCCCATTTCTGGTCATAAAAAGATTAATTTGTGTATTTCGGAGGGTCAAGGGTTGATAGTGAAGGGGTGGCCTTGGATGTATTGTAGAGAAGGTTTCTTGTGTAGTTCAGGTTACCCAGTTCAAGAAGGCTGAGTTTGGTGCTGAGTTGAGGATATTTTTCTTGGCTCTGATTTTCCCCTTCTGATTTAACAACTGAATGTCACATGTAGGCCACTCAGATGCTGGTGAGAGAGACTCCACTTCCTAACAGTGATAGCAGAGACAGCAGGCCCTCCATGAGGGGGGCATATCACCCACAGCACAGGACTTTCACATGGGTAGGCATTCTGGGAAGACAGACAAGCATTGTCACACAGCCACGGGGCAGGGCCTGTGGGGAGCCCTGATCAGTGTAAGTGAGGCACATGGGCAAAGTCAGGAGTGCCTGACTTGGTAGAGGTGTAGGGGATGTCTGCCAGACTCTCACGTGTACAATGAGTGATTAAATCTGTAGCTGGGATTGTTGGACCGTTTTCTTTTTTATGAATTTTTTAGTGTATGAAATAATTGCTTCCCTGATGGCATCTTCATAAACACATTTCATTGTATGTTAATCATCTTCACCTCCCATTTACCTTTTCTTATCTGCTCTCCTCTTTCCTGTTGATCTCTTCCTGTCCTCCTTCCTCCCTCCCACGGGCCCCATTTTGCCCCCAATAGTTTTCCATCTGCTTTGATAACCTGTGTATATCTGCATAATCTGTATACATCAGTGTGTATGAAGTCTGGATTCCACCTAGGAATCCAAACACAGTATGCTCATCTGGCTTTGCCATTTAACACGATGATCTACTGCTTCCTGGGTTTTTCTGCATATGGCACGATTGCATTTTTCTTTGTGACTGAATAGGACTCCATTGTACACATGAGCCACATTCATCTGTCGATGGACCGCTAGGCTGCTTCCATATCTTGGCTGTTGTGGACAGGAGCATGGATGGTCAGCTGTGTGTAACTGTGTGCTGTGGCGGTTCTGTTTTGTTTTGTGAGCCTTGTGCTGACTGCAGTAGTGGCTGCACCTGCCTGTGTCTGTGTTCACGCTCACTCTTCCTGTTCCCTTTGTTTCAGGTTAAAGGAGCAGGAAGTTCGAAGACTGATGCGGTCCCGGGGTGACGGGCCCTGGTTTCAGTACCCAACCCTTGAGAAGGAATTCATTGATCATTCTCCAAAAGCAACTCCTGACAACTGATCCATTTGTCTAAGAACAGCATGTTCTTTCTAGTAGAAAGAAATGAATAAATATTCTGTATTTTTGCTCTGGTGCACACCGCCTTCCTTGGATGTTTCTTCATGTGGTTCAGGTGTTGTATTCCATGTGGGCTTTTCAGCTTCATCTGTTGAGATTTATGGGGTGGTAATAAGAACTAGAGATCCGGGGCACTGTTGTCTGGCAGGTGGAGTGCAGCGGTCCTGGGAATGTTCAGGACCTGCAGTTGTCTGTGTACTGCACTGCAGATGGTGGTTATTCAGGACTACTTGGATTTTAACTTTCGTGAGAAATACTGGACCAACCGCATAAAAATGTTAGCGCCATAATAAACAGACTTTAGCAGACTAGTCTTACAGTGTGTGATGTGACATCTCGCTTTGTTTTAGGGGTGTAGACCACTCTTTTTAGAACCACAGACACAGATGCAGATGCACACGACCACAGTCACTAGACTTTCTTAGCACTGTGTTCTGTAAATGCTGCACGTGTGAAGCCCTGGATGTGGTCTCCAGAACTCATGAGGTGTGAGTGAACCTGCAGGGCTGTGATCACCAAGCCTTCCCTGCCTGCTGACCATGGCACCGAAGCTCTGCCTCTTTCCAGAATCGCCATGTCGAGTCCTCTTCTGTTTCACAGGCGAGGAGTAGAGACTTCAGACATGCTCAGCGTTTCCTTTTTCCTTCCCAGGGTTTTTATCTTTACACTCAGGACATGCTTTCTTCGCATTTGTCATCATTCTTCATGACAGTGAAGTGAACTCGTATAGTAAGGTTCTCCAGGTGCTGTCCTTGGCCAATAGGAAGCTGTCTTACTACTACGTAAGCAGAGGAGCTGAAAAGTCCTAGGCCCACTTGCCCTGCTGCCTGCACCAAGGTCTTCTGGTGTGCTTGTAGTTCCTTGTTTCCTCAGAAGAGGTGGCCACACCCCATTACCCCAAAGTTTGGTTGTGAGGATTCCCTATGCTGTCAGATTACCATCTCACACTGGCTGAGAGGAGGACGTATGGTCTCCAGGCCCCGCACATGCAAACCATTTCGTAGGAGAAATAGGACATGTGGGATCTAGAGGCATAATCATCACCATCATTCTTTCATACAACACATCCTGACCTCAGTTTCCCCTCCCTCCACTCCTCTCAGCGCTGCCTCCCAACCTCAGTAGCAGATTTCATTGTGCCATCCTACTAATATGATGAGGAGTATGCCATTCCTTATATTCTACTAATACAAGGAAAGCTTGGCACAGGAAGAATACAAACCTATTAGAAGTAGCTGTCACTAAGTCTACTTTGTAACAAATAGGAACTCACCATATTTTAACTTCTTAACAACCATGCTTACACAATACACACGCCGTTATCCTCACTTAAATTTATGATAATGGGCTTTGAAAAGTTGAATAAGTCACATAAGATGAAAGTTATATCCTTTGAAGGATATAAAAGTTATTCTTTCGGGGTGTTTTTTGGTGGTAGTACTGGAGACCAAACCAGGGCTTCATGTGTGCTGGGCCAGCACTCTGTCACCTTCCCAAATCCTCAGCCCGACATCAACCTTCTAAAAGTATTCTAAAAGTAAGAACTTGCTGGAGACTGAAGACATGGCTCAGAGGAAGTGTGTGTTTAGCCTACTGAAGACCCTGGGCTCACACACCAGCCGTAGGAAGGAAGCACCTCTCTGCACCTGGGACCTATCTGTCTTGTAAGCCCCTTTCCCTTGGATGTACAAACTTCGTTCAATGAGGCCCTTTCTCCGTTTATTTTGCCTTTTATTTTATAACTAACTACTGGCATGCATTTGTAGCGGAGTATGTCTGTAATCCCAGCACTGAGTGGTGGGATTATAAGAAGATCCTGGTGGCTCACTGGTCAGACAGTCTAGCTTCTAGCCAATCATCAAATTCTAGGTTCAGTGTTAGACTTTGAAAAAATAAGATACAGGGGCTGGAGAGATGGCTCAGAGGTTAAGAGCACTGACTACTCTTCCGGAGGTCCTGAGTTCAGTTCCCAGCAACCACACGGTGGCTCACAACCATCTGTAATGAGATCTGGTGCCCTCTTCTGGCCTGCAGGCAGACATGGAGGCTGAACACTATGCATAATAAATAAATCTTTTTTTTAAAAAAAAGAAGATACAGTAAAGCCCTACATCTACTTCTCAGCTCTGCAGAGATAGATGATAGATAGATGATAGATAGATAGATGATAGATAGATAGATGATAGATAGATAGATGATAGATAGATAGATGATAGATAGATAGATGATAGATAGATAGATGATAGATAGATAGATGATAGATAGATGATAGATGATAGATAGATGATAGATAGATAGATAGATAGATAGATAGATAGATGATAGATGATAGATAGATAGATGATAGATAGATGATAGATAGATAGATAGATGATAGATAGATAGATAGATGATAGATAGATAGATAGATAGATGATAGATAGATAGATGATAGATAGATAGATAGATAGATGATAGATAGATAGATGATAGATAGATAGATAGATAGATAGATGATAGATAGATAGATAGATAGATGATAGATAGATAGATAGATGATAGATAGATAGATAGATAGATAGATAGATGATAGATAGATAGATGATAGATAGATAGATAGATAGATGATAGATAGATAGATAGATGATAGATAGATGATAGATAGATAGATAGATGATAGATAGATGATAGATAGATAGATAGATAGATGATAGATAGATAGATAGATAGATAGATAGATAGATGATAGATAGATAGATGATAGATAGATGATAGATAGATTGATAGATAGATAGATAGATAGATAGATGATAGATTGATAGATAGATGATAGATAGATAGATAGATGATAGATAGATAGATGATAGATTGATAGATAGATAGATGATAGATAGATAGATGATAGATAGATAGATGATAGATTGATAGATAGATGATAGATTGATAGATAGATAGATAGATAGATAGATAGACAGATGATAGATAGATAGATGATAGATAGATAGACAGATGATAGATAGATAGACAGATGATAGATAGATAGACAGATGATAGATAGATAGATAGACAGATGATAGATAGATAGATAGATAGACAGATGATAGATAGATAGATAGATAGACAGATGATAGATAGATAGATAGACAGATGATAGATAGATAGATAGATAGATAGACAGATGATAGACAGATAGATAGATAGATAGATAGATAGATAGATAGAGATCAATTGATCAATCAGCCTCTGGCCTCCTTATGAGCATTCTCAGGCTTGTGGTTGAAGAAAACAAACTTCTGCAAATTGCCCTCTGACCTCTAGATGCATGCTGTGACATACATACACATACACACAGCAAATGTAAAAAAAATTAAAAATCATTCCTGGATGTTTTGGGATAATGCTCTTGTCAAGACAACTCAGAGAGTGGAAAGTGCTGTGTAATTCTAACAACCCGTGTTTGACTCCTGGATCCCACAATGGAAGGAGGTGATTGGCTCCTGAAAGTTTTCTGGCCTTTATGTGAGTGCCATGTCATGCACAGGCTGGCACTCAAACACGTATAGTAATTTTTTTAAAAAAATCATCCTCAAGTGTTTATATTTACACACATGCACACGCACACTGAGAGAAATTAGGCATATGTCAAGAACAGCACATAGGTTATTTATTTTTAGGGCATTAATGATTGTCATGAAGTTCCTTCTCAGGACCCAACACATAAAGATAAAAAACAACTCCTGCGAAATGGCATGGGTCAATTAAATGGACTGACAGCTCTGACAAAGCTGACTAGTTGGGCCAACTGTCACCACAGACATTGACATGAAAAAGGACTAGACCACAGTGAGGGTATTTCTTAGTGAGACAGGAAAGAATGTGTTTTCTCGCCTCCTGGCTGACGTGTGAAACACCATAGCAGCGGTCAGGTCTGGGCTGCCTGTGTCCAGGTTCTTGGCCTCTTATTCAAAGGATTGATGTAAGGGTATACAGTTTCAAAAGCAGCAAGGGGACTTCATTCAAAACAGGGGGACAGTTCAGGTCAGACGCACTGCTGAGACTGGCAGCCTGCCGTACGAGTGAGGACACTCACTGTGGTGACCCCTTACGGGGTTCAGAGACAGGACTTCAGTGACTAGGGGTAGTTTGGGTAGTTCTCTATCTAGACTGCAGACTTGGACAGTGTAAATAATGTGATCAGTGTTTATGTTCCTTCTCGTTATGCATCTGATTTTAGTCCTTTAGTGCACATTGTACCAGACTCTTTCTTCTGGGCCTCCAACCAGCTCCCAAATCATGACACAGACTTGTTATGAATGCTTGACCTACCTTGGGCTCATTTCTGACTAGCTCTTTTTAAATTAATCTGTTTCTCTTTAACTACATTTTTCCTCAGGGCTTTTTACCTTTCTTCCCTAAATCTTACTTTCTGCTTTTGGTTGACTGACTGGCGACTGACTGCCTAGCTTCTGGCCTGGGGGCATTTCCCTTAGTCTCTCATTTTTCTCTCAAACCTTGATTTCTCCTCCTATTTATATTTTCTATGCCTGCCCGTCCTGTCCATCCTTTCTCTGCCTGGCTATTGACTATCCAGCACTTACCAATCAGGTGCCTTAGGCAGGCTAGGTGAAACAGATGCAGCACATCTTTACATAAATACGTATCCTTCCATCATTAAACAAATGCAGCGCAAACAAATGTAATACATCTTTACATAGTTAAAATAATACTCCACAACAGCATATCTAACTGTGCATGGGCATGAGATGGTAAATAGATGATTCTCCCTAAAACCTCACTTAGAGGACACAGTTTGCCCTCTTGCAAAGCACCCAAGACCAGTTCAGGCTAGATAAACCCTCGCGTATTTTAAACAATTGGAAATTAAATGCAGGCGAAATTTCAGTACTCCCTGGAACTCCCTTCTGATACTATTCTATATGTTTCTTTGTTTTATTATTTTTATTCACGTCTCTGTATTCTTTACTATATTTCTAAATCCCCACGCCTCTACCCTGGCAAGAGGTATTTGTTGAAGCTGGT